TATATATATATATATATAAATTATATTATATATATATGCCTGGGATGCCAGGAAGCGGGGTGCTGTGCGCCCGTTAAGTTGATTTCTTCCACTGGATGCCTTTTTTGTTCCTACCTTGTTGTCCCTTTGGCGTATATACGACATAGCCCGCTGCGTGTGTGTCTGTGCTGAGGTGTTTTCATGTTGAAGGTTAGTGCATGTTTTCGGCGCTCTTCGGTGTTCCGCGCCGGCGCGCTGCGGCAGACCCCGCTCTGCTTAAACAAGTGCAACGGCACCCTGTACGACCGCAAGCCGCAGTGGAACCCTCTGCGCGAATTGCAAGTTCCGCTGCGGAAGACAGTGGACGATGTGGCCACGCTTGATGGCACTCTGGACATGGTGGGCTACCAGCTATTCCGCGATGGTCTACTGCCGCCGCCGCCAGCACGCGCGCTTCTGGAGAGGCGCACACCGGCGGACATCCGTAAAGTGCAGCGTGAGCGTGCCCAGACCGAGGCGCGCATGAAGAAACATGGCGTGGTGCTCCGCCGCAGCATTAAGGAAACATATCTCACCATTGGCTGCGACGAAGCCGGCAGGGGGCCTCTGGCGGGCCCAGTCGTGGGAGCGGCGGTGTGCCGTGTGCCGCTCTCAAGCTTCAACAACGAGTTGCGCGCTGTGTACGACGAACAGGAGCAGTTTCAGATTTTTGACAGCAAGTCGGTGTCGGAGGCGCAACGCAACTTAGTGTTCAAGAACATCACGGGGTACAACAACATCTTTGAGTTAGTGGCGGATAAGACGTTTGTGGTGCACCACGCTGGCTGCGACTCTGCACCTGGTAATGTTCTCACGAAGCGGTTCCCATCACATGCAAAGTTACAGAAGTTGTCATTCAAGAAGCTCTTGTCGATGCAGACACCATATCTAATTTCTTACAGTGGTGCTCACATCAGCGGCAACTACTTATACCTGTGGGCTATAGGAATAGCAAACCACACGTACATTGATATGACTAACATTTACATGGCTTCGATGCACACAATGCACCGCTCCTGCCTTTCTATTTGGCGCGCGCTTAACGATACACGATTTTTAATCGAAAAGGCTTCACGTCCAAAGCAGTGCTCCATTGCACAGTACCTATTCTCCCGTTTTTGCATCGCTGCCGCGCATGACGATCGCAAACGCTACGAATTACCGTCACACATCGAACTTGTAGATGGGGCAAAGGATTTCTTTGACGTTGAGCCCGTGCAGCCGCCGCTGATCTTGGTAGACGGTCACGCTGCGCCCGAGGAAACGTTATCTGTCTTTACAGACCTGCAGATCGGCGGCTACGTCCAACCAATTATAGAAGGTGACAAGCGTAGCTTGACGATAGCGGCAGCATCTTGTCTTGCCAAGGTCTCCCGTGACGAGATCATGAACTATCTGAGCACGCTGTATCCCAGATACCAGTTCGCGGAGAATAAAGGGTATCCGGTGGAATACCACATGCGTGCTGTGCAGCGTTACGGTTTGTCTGCGATTCACCGCAAGTCATACAAGCCCTGCGCAGCTGCGATCACAAGGCAGTTGAAGCGCAAGGCGAAGGAGTCCCGGCCATAGAGGAATGGAAGAAATGGAGACGAGGTGGAAAAGAAGAAGAGTGACATGCGCATACAGCATGGGAACGCCATCTGTGATGAAGTGGTTGCCTGTGGTTTGCTGCAGGTTTCTTTCTGGAATTTTGCGTGAGAGGAAGATTCCCCCCCCTCCCCTTTCTCTCTCTTTCTCTTTCTTCTGTTCGATACCTGATTGCGTCTACTTGTTTTGTGTCTTCATCCCCGGTTTGGGTAGCACTTGCTCATGAAATATTTGGACGTGAGCAGAGAGAGGGAGAGAGGAGAAGAGGGAAGGGAAGGTGTGACGATGAACGTGGTGGCCGATGTGTATAAGAGTAGCAATTCTTTTGCAGGATTCCAGGGCAAAGAGGTCCCTGCCGTATTATCGAGTTGACTCGTAATAATGCAAGGAATCATAGATGGGCTTTACGCATATCGGTACGTGGAGGGGACTCGCTTTAAAGGGTTTTATGAGAGACCTTACACAGATAAAAAAACATACTCAAAGGTGGCTTCATGCTATTGGCAGAATATACATGGAGCTGACTGCACCAATCAGCTACCTAAAGACGTTGGGGCTTGTTTTTTCTTTTTGTTGGTCATTGTGAAACGCGCTGAAGTTGCTTCTCTTGCTCTGAGATATGGGTCTTCATGTGCCGGAAATTCGGATGTCATATGAGATCAGGTCTCTGCGGGGTGCAGGTGCCATACGTTCTTTCTGGAAGTGACTCCCCTGACTCTCTGCCGTGGATGAAGGAGGAGGTACTCAACAGCTATTGCCCAACGTGTTGCTATTGGCCTCCACCCACACCCACAGACGCACACATAAACACGAAGAGTGATGGGTAGTCCGCCGTCCGAGATGAAATATTTTTAAATACTCACACCCTTTCTGGCGATGCGAGACCATGCGGTAGAAACTCTACAACAAATGAAGTGCGTGACGCTTGCAATGATCTGCCGGAGCTGTGGGAGCCGACGGCTGCCATCGTGCTTTTTAGTGCTAACCACCGTGAGATGAAAGGGATGCTGAGCCATATTGCATCGTCTCTGCGCTTGTTACATCTGGTGTGTAAGGAATGTTAAGGCCGCCTTTCACACCGCATGTGACGTCTCACATCCCTCGGTGTCCGTGGTGGGAAGTACTACTGCGCGCTGGGGTGGATGTCATCGACGAAAATACCTCTGGCCTCTCACTCCATCTCATGTTGCATGCCTGAACGGTGTAGACCACGAGGTGTTTTTTGAAAGGGCTTTTTCTGAAGGGGCTGAATCCAATGTGAACGCACGCACAAAGGAAGGCGAGGCGACGCCCCATTGTCGCGCGTCTGGCGATATTCATTTTGTTTTGGTTGTGTGTCTTTGCTGTGCGTTTGTCTATTTGCATGCTGAGGCGTTGGTTAAAGATGCTTGAATGTACACCCTTCGAGGATGGAGGCGCGAGCGGTTTCAGGACCAAAGGAATTAGTGCACTATAGCAATGCATGGCTTCGTCAGTGAGTTTCAAATCCGGGACGACCACTCTCTACTACTCGCACCCCCCTGGTGGTGCCAGCCGCATCCCATCGCAGTACCTGGGTTCAATACTCCGCATTGTCGAGGTCAGTCAAACGCCAACAATGATCACCTCTTGGAAGGCTTCGCGGCTTCTGGCTCACACCATCATAAAGTGCCATTGCCAATCACATCTTGCTGGAACGCGGTGTTGCCCGTTTCACTCACGCGAGACGCGTGCCGCCGCACCATCAGCAATTGTATTCGAACCATTGGTGAATGCTTGGATTATCAGGTTTTTACAATCTTTTTTCTCCGTTCCGTTTTTGTCCTTTAAGAAAGCGGGGGTGGGTAGGTGGGTGGAGGAAAGCGCTACCCGTCATTTAGGCAGTGAAGGGCCGATGGTGGTGCTGCGGCTTATTGGTGACGAGTGGTCCTGGGAGGACCGCATCGCCCTCGCGGTGCCTCCACAAAGAATATTCACGATGTGCATCCCGCTGCTGGTGGCAAAGCTCGGGCTGGAGAAATGGGACGGTCTCATGCTCTACCGAACAGAGGGAAAGCCGCCAAAGTACTGTCGCCCAACAACGGCCCTAGACATGTCGAGCAACCCGCAGAGAGAGCGGCTGCGGGATGGTGCTGTGCTGTGGGTGCGTGTGGCTCCTTCACGTGTTCAGCAGGAGTATGAACGTGTTTTTCAGAGGTCCCTAGAAGATTGGCGAGAAAAAAATGGTCTGAAGGGTGTCACTGATGATGGTAGTGATGTCAAGCGTTTTGTTGAAGAGTTGAATTCGCGTCTAAATGCATCAGACGCAAAGGATCTGGACATTGAGGAGAAAAGATCACGAGACGCCATAGAAGGTGTGGAACACCGCCTGTTTTCGCACATGACGTTCACATGCCAGGAGGGAAAGAGACTGGAGTTTGAGGAGGCACAGAAGCGGGAGAGCCTAGAGACGGCTTTTGCCCTTGCGATTCAGCAGCACTATAAGAGTTTTTTACTCCCTATACGTCGTGAGAGCGTTGCGCATTTGTGTGCATTGGAGGGTGAGTGTCGTCGTGCTATATATGAAGCGCAAGATGAAGAATGCGCTGCGCTGCGCCGACAAATGGTGAGTTTTTCACCACGGGCCGTTAGGCAGGAGTCCCCGCTGAAATCCAACGCCAAAGCGGAACCTAATAATTTCATACGAGACATCAACTTGACACAGATACGTGAGAATTCCGTGGCAGAGTACCACGACGCAGAGAATCTTCGGATGATGGTGCGTGCAGAGTTTCGCAAATTGCTGGAACCCATGGAGCAGATGTATCGCAAGGAAATAGCTATGCTTCAAACGCAACGAGATGACGCCGCGAGCGGCAGTGAACTCTTCCTCGCACGTCTAGGGCAGTACATCACCAGTGCGCTCCATGTTATTCAGGGCGAGGTGTTGAGGCCCCAATCGTTTCTGTCGTCGCAGTTACCAGTGCTCAGTACGGATGGTGTCGAGGCGTTACAACGCTCCCTAGAACAGCAGCAACGTTTGCTCAGGGAATTGCTGCGGAAATATCGTGACCTTGAGGTTCGAACCTCAATTGATCTGCACAATGTAGGGGCCAGGACGACATTGACTGCGATACATGTGGCACAGTTGAACATGTGCCGTTATCTTGAATACCTCCATGAGCAGCTGTGTAAGAATCAAGCACCATGGAAAAATCTTATGGAGATAAATGAGCGACTTTTGACTGATATTACTCGAGTTACGCAGGAAAATATGCAACTGCGTAAACTCCAAAAAAAACATGGTGCCCCTCACATAACATCTACAAATGTTCATTGTGAAGTCAACTGCCATAAAGGTCGGGTGCCTGAAGTTCATACGGATACATACAATATTCTCTTAGGTTTCGTTTCACGGTGTCTTGGACCACTTGGCGTGGATACATCCAACGCTACGGAGTTTGTTAGCGACTTGCTCCTCCAAACTGGCTCCGTGCAGGCTGCTTCGGACGAGCTGTGTTTGGCGTGCAGTGCGCGGGCTCATCCAATGCGACGATTTTTTGTGAGTGAAACAGAAGTTTACACGCCGCATTTGTGCGCTGTAGTGGATATCATGCTCCATCTATATGCCGGGCGGGAAATGGAGCTGCTACTATGGATTCGACCGGAGCTGGCCTCGCAGGGGAGTTTTGACACGTGCTTGGCTGACGATGGCTCCATGTACTACTACCACACAGCTATTGGTATGAGCCAATGGATCCAGCCGGCCTCTCTGATGGCTACGTGATCTTGGTGGCGTTGCTTATATATCGGTGTATTTTTTATGTTTGGTTGCTTGTTTGCGAGGATGCGACCGAGGTCTGTATTGTATATATAACAAAAGAAAAGAAAACTGAATCCTCGTGAGCCCAAGGTACCATCCTTTAACCACCCTTCTTTCTCCGTACTAAAATATATATTTTGTTAAGGAAAAGGTCTCTACCAGTCCATCATTATCTCCCGATAACAGCAATACAAAAAAAATGTCTGAGACGACCATTGCTTTCCGCTGCAATGACTTTGTGCTGGTGGCAGCAGCCGGCCTCAACGCCTTCTACTACATCAAGATCACGGACACCGAGGATAAAGTAACTCAGTTGGATTCTCATAAGGTGGTGGCGTGCACAGGAGAGAATGGCCCACGAGTCAATTTTGTGGAATACATCAAGTGCAATATGGCGCTTAAGAAGATGCGGGAACACGGCCGTCTGATCAAGACCTCTGCAACAGCTTCTTATATGCGTAATACACTTGCCGGAGCGATACGCAGTCGTGACGGTGCCTACTTGGTCAACTGCCTCCTCGCCGGCTACGACGTTGTAGCTTCCGATGACGACGACTGCACGACAGGGCCACACCTCTACTACCTGGACTACCTTGGCACTATGCAGGAGGTACCGTACGGCGCCCACGGATACGGCGCCTCCTTCGTCACCGCGATGCTTGACCGTCTGTGGCGCCCCAATTTGACAGCACAGGAGGGTGCCGATTTGATGCAAAAGTGCTGCGATGAAGTGAAGAGGCGCATTGTGATCAGCAATGATAAGTTTATCTGCAAAGCGGTGACAGAGAGGGGTGTAGAGCTTCTCCAAGGTGTGAATTAGGAGGGGTACGGCTATTTCCTAGGGCCTCAGCCAATCAACCCCCCCCTTTCCAACAAGAAAAGAGAATGTGAGAGGTGCAATGCATTTGTATTTCCCCCCTGCCCACAATAGGGCTGCTCCCGCTTGCGTGGAGAGGCAAGAAGAGAAGAGGAAAATGCTTGATTGCATTCCGTCTCTTTGATGCTTTCGACAATGCGCGTATATGTGCAATAACATGTATATAAAGTTTGTTCCTAAATTTGCTTAACCTTTTGTTTTACTTTACCTGGAGAGGTACATAAAAAAAAAAAATATTGTTAGACGCACATGGGAACCGAAGTGAATCACTGGAGCTTCTTTCAGCTGCCGCCCTTCTTCACGTTGCAGCCGGGCCCAGCGGCGTTAATGCGGCAGGTGTCCTTGTGGGGAAACCTCATCATGGATCACGCGGCATATCATGCGCCGCATACACGGCGTGGCTCATGCCGCTTTCTGCGTCTGTACAAGACCACAAGTGACGTTTTCCGCAACCCATCAATCAGCCGGCGCCTTCCAGCGGATGCCGCCCGGCGGATGTTGGAGGCGCTTGTGACTCAGCAGCCAAATTTCTGCGCTGCAGTGCGGAGTGACGATGATGATAAGGAATTTGCTGTTCTTGTTGCCTGTAACGCCGGTGGGTTAAAGGAAATCGAGGAGTCGTTGCTATCGTGGCTTCTGGACAGTGGGGCTGGAACTACCACGGAGCATCTTGCGCGGTCTGGGGTGGTGATGACATTTGATGAATTGGCGGAGGGTAATTGCTTGGCTTACAACCGTGCGCGAGACCCTTTGATGGGTAGGTTGACGCAAGATCCAGTGCCCATTCCAGACGTGGGGACACTGTCTGAAGAGCAGGCCGTCCGCGCTTTTCTGCAGGCCCTCATGACTCGTCCAGTTTCGGTTCTGCGCCCCTTCCGTATTACATTTTTCAATCTAGACGGCAGTGAAAGACAGCCTTATCAGGGTGTCAAATTCGGAGGAGCCTTACCACCGTGAGGATGGGGTACGGAAAAAACAACAGCACAATTGGGCTTGTGCTTCTGCTTGCACTTGTGTCTCTTTTTTTTTTCTTATGAGGTCGTGGACATATGTGTATGCTCGTGCCTCTGTGTGTCTGTATGTGTGCACTGATTTGCTTTATCTTGGAGTAACGCTCTCTGTCACGGTGAGTGATTTCGTGCCTCTCTTTCCACTGAATGAAGAAGTCGTCACGCAAGCAGCACACTAGAGACTCTGATGGCAGCCGGGGCTAAGGATGCTGAAGGGCCGTGTAGTCTGGATTACATACGGCAGTACGTTGCCCCTCTAAACTACCCTTTGGAAAAGATGAGCGACATGACAGAAGAAATGCGGGCCGAGTGTAAGGAGATTGTGGTAAACGCTATTGAGAAGTATGAGGACAGCTACGAGCACGCGGCAAAGCATGTGAAGGAGCTGATGGACAAGAAATACGGTGCGTCATGGCATTGCGTAATTGGTGAGGGTTTTGGGTTTGAAATCACGTACGAAATGAAACACCTCATGTACATGTTCCACAAAGGCTTCTTAGCGATTGTTGTGTTTAAAGGCCTGTAGAGGTGACGTGCGTCACACGTTGTATTGGGTGATGTACATAGAGGTGCGCATGCTGCCCCAGCAGTGAACGCTGAATCGATCTCAGGTGACGAGGACTGGAGCGAACCCCATGTTTTGATCAGCACAAAAACACGTCTGTAGACCATTGAAAGCGAAGCAGTATGTGTAGTGGAATGCTCACCGTCTTTATCCAAGGTTGCGCTGTGTGTATTCTGTCATGTTTTGATACTGGCTACCTGATTATAGATGATCGGTTTGCTATACTACTAACGTTGCTACTACTACTATTTTTTACTACGACATGCTGCTCTCAGCTTGCTTTTCTCCTCTTAGTTTTTGACGTCTCTTTGAAATAGTTGTTTTTCCGGTGGGATGTCAGTGGCAGCTGGGGCCCACTTTCTGCCCCGCAGTGTGGTGGAGTGGACTGCATTGGTGCGCAGCTCGCTGCAGCTGCGGCTGGATCAGTTGCACTTGCCGGAACACTTTTTTTACAAGGAACTCGGCAATGGGCGTCGCTTCTCACACTTGCAGACATGCGCTGTTCCACGCCATACTCGGGAGAACGCTGTGCTGGTGTTGCTCTCACCGCCTGCTGGAGGCATGGAAAACGGATTTCGGGAGATGTGCATTACGCTCACAAAGCGCACGGATAAGCTCCGCCGCCACGGGGGCCAGATATCGTTTCCTGGTGGGACTGTGGACGCCGGTGAGATGCCTGCCGCCGCTGCACAGCGCGAAACGGTCGAGGAGGTTGGCATCGACGCGCTGGCGTACGATATTATAGGGTCATTGCACCCAATTTCCACTGTCGATGGTGGCTCATGTGTGCATCCATACGTCGCGGTTGCTGCATCCTCTGTCGCACCGACGTGTGCCAGCCCAGACGAGGTGGCCTCAATTCATTATTTACACCTCTCTCGGCTGTTATTGGACAGTCAACATACACACTGTCGTCTTATTAAACTCCGTTCGTTAACGTCGCAGAATCCAGCTCATTTCCCCTGTTTCTTTGCCAGTGCGTCACAAACAGTGCCATCTGGCAATGTGTGCCCCACGGAAAACGTACCAGGAATGCCAGAGGATGAAGGCCTCGCCCCAATGCTCCCAGAAGACTATCCTGGTGAGCTGGTATGGGGCATCACCGCATTTGTTTTGTGTGAGCTTTTGGTTCGACTTTCCACAGCATTGGAGCAGATGCACCCAAAGGAAGCCAATGCGAATGAAATGCTGCGGGGTAGTTCCGTTGTTGCCCGAGATCCGCAAGCTCCGATGGGAAAGTTGTAGTTGATTTGCCAGGGATGATGATGATTGGTTAGTGTGGTTACTGATAGCTCAAAGAGCTGCTACCTCTCTGTTGGATGTGTGTATGAGTGAATAAACATCTCTTTGTAATATCGGGGTGGTGCTGTGTTTCTTGTTTCCTTAATTTCTTTTTTTTTTCCCCTTTGCTACCTGCATGTGCATATTTGCATGATGTGTTTCTTTGGTTGAAGAGAAATTCAATGCCGGGTGTTCGGTGGTCTGTGCTGCAGACGTTTCTACTGCTAATAGTGTTGCTGTGCTCACAGGTAACGGCCGCTGCCGATGCGGACCACAAAGCCGCGTTGCTGCGCTTGCGCGAGGCGATTGCCCACCACGATGTAGCGGAGGTGCGACACATCATTGACGAGGGTACAGTCAAGCCACAGATTGCTTACCGAATGCCGTCACCTCTCTACTGGGTGGTGATTGAACAGGTGGACTCCGAAAATCTTGCCCGCATAACACAGCTACTATTGGAGCATTTCGGTGAGAGTAATTACGACTACGATAGGCACCACCCGCTGACTCTTGCAGTTCGACACCATCTTTCGCGTGTAGTGACTACACTGTTGAATTGGCCAGGTACTGTGAAGGAGGTCCTTGCCAAATATCTCCGCTGCGAAGATATTAGGCATCTTCCTAGGTCTGTGAAGGTTGTCGTAACGCATGATAGCCATACTTGCTTCCGAAACATCGCTCGTATGGTGGAATTTGAGCATAGTGAATTAGCACAGGCGATGCGGCACCATCAGCGCACTGGGGAAGAAGCGACGCCCAAAGAGTTCGAGTGGTCAAATCCGTTCTTGACGCCGCCGCCAGGGAGGAAGCCTCCGACCAAGGAACTCGTAATGAACCCACGAGCTTTCCAGGATTTCTCCGAAGCGGTTATGTATTACTTCCTTGGTGAGTGGGGCAGTGTATATAACCTCACTTTCAAGGCTATTATTTTGGCCTTCTGGTTGTTGACGTGTGGTGTTTTTGGGGCTGCGGTGCGTGGTTAGCCGAGTTGATGTCTGCTGTGAACAAATCCATATGTGTAGTGTGTGGGAGAGTTAACTTTGCGTAATTGCGCTCTTGGGGAAGGCTCTTCTGTGCGGTGAGAGTTGTGTGTTATGATACGTTCATTTATCATCTTGTAGTATTTCTGGCGAGCGACGATGGTGGTGGTGGTGGTGACGTCGTCGATCCTTTTGTGCCTTACTGCTCTCTGCGTTTCCCCTACCTCGCAGCATTCATTAGCTTGCTGCTGCCCACGTGATGGCAGTGCCAGAGGCGATGAGAGCAAAGGCGCTATCGCAGCTCATCACGGTGCTGAAGGACCTCGAGGAGTTCAAGCGCGTGCCGGAGAAGGGCAGCCTTTACGCCGAGGCGATGGTGGCTGCGATGTGCGCTGCATTCGCGGACAAGGAGTCCTTCCGCGACCAGCTGCTAGGCGTGCTGGCGAACATTCGAAGCGTCGATGGAGAGCTGGCGAAGATCGGCCCCACTGCTCTCGCCACAATGAAGCCGCAGGAGATTCTGTCAGCACGGCAGCGACGGGATCGTGACCGTTTCTTGCGGAAGAGGACCCGCGAGCAGATCGTGTACGATGAGATTAAGATGCTGTGCGCCACATGCAAACTTGTTCGGCCCGACCGCCTCAACCTCAATCACATTGCACTGGATTCGGAGGAGAACGGGACCCAGTTCGACTACAACTTTGATAACTTGTGCCAATGCAGCCACCACAGCAGTGAGGATACCTCCAGCACGTCTTCCGCGGACGAGACGACGCCGGAACGGGACAACACCGAAGACGGCCCTACACACTCATAACACACGCCGTGCTGTCTGATGTGACGTACGCGTTGATGCCCCTCAGTGCGATTATTGGTGACGCTTGGCACATGAATGACTTCACCGTGAATCCTTTCCCCTGCCTCTTTTTTTCAAATGTCGCTCTTCCTTTCTCTCACCTTTTCTTTTCCTTAAATACATTCCCGTTTTCTCCTAATGCCTGTGGCTTTCGAGGGTAATGTAGGCACGGCAAGCGCCGGCCTAACGGAGATGAACGCATTGCAAAATGACGGATCCGGTGCACGCGGCGGCGCTCGTTGTGACGAAGCGGCTGCTTCTGCTGCTGCCCCTGGCTACACATTCACGCCGCGACACCTCACCGACGAGGAAGGAACGGACGTGTTGGCTCAGGAGGTGCTGGAGCTTCTTGAGCGTATGCGGGTGGATTTGAACCAGCTGAAGAGTTCTGTAGACCTCCGTGAGAGCACCGAGCGCACGATGTCACACGCGGCCGCACGCTATTTGATGGCGTCAAGATGGGCGGCTGAGCAGCGAAAGGCAAGCGGTACGCCTTCCCCGCAGCGTCCTCTTCCTGGCAGCGGCTTCTTTTTCGTGCCCATGGCTACAGCCCCGGTAAGGAGCCTCACGCTGCGCGGTGACACTTGCGCCGCCACTTCACCGCCGCCGCCACCGAAGCAGCTGCAGCCGTCCAGGTATCGCCCAGTTGATACGGCACCGCCGTGGAACGCCTCCACAAGTCTGCAAGGGGGCGAAAAGGGTGTGGTTCCGAAGACGCCGGATGAGTGTAGGACGGTACGTGACCGCCTGCCACCACCACCCCCTACAAGGGTGCGGCACCAGCAGGAAATTGGTGGCGACGCGGAGACGTTAAATGTAGCTTGCGCGAGTTTGGCGTGGCCCGTTGCCCTTATCACGGATGGTGTAAATGACGACCCTAACACTGTAGCCAATGTGTCCCGCATGGATGACATTCAAGTACGGGATTTTTTGCGGCGACTGAATATTGTGGGGATGGAGCTAGCAGAAACTGAAGGACACATCGATGATCCAGTTCTGAATGGTGTTGCACTTCGCCGGCTGGTGGCCATTGCGCTGAAGTGTGATGGCGGTGAAGCAAACACCTATAGCCCAGATTTCGTGTTGAAGCCAAAAACTATCGATGACGTTCGACTGAATTACGTAACAGCTTTGAATATGCTCCGAGGAGCGGAGAAAACCACCTCGTTTTGCATCCCCCGCGAGTGCCGTCTCATACGGCCCGAGAGCGTCATTGTGCGAGGTGATTCTGCATTGCTCTTTCTGCTGATGCGCACTGTCATTAGTGGGTTTCTGCCGACGAATTTGGAACACTTGTGGGCCGAGCCAGCAGTGACGTGGCAGCCCGACCCGCTTCAAGGCAGTTATGCCCCTAGTGCGATGCGCTCTCTCGAACTGGCAGTGTGCAGTTTTTTGTTTTCGCAGGACGTTCTCCCGGACCCTGTAGCCCATCAACTTCCGTCCGACGACAAAATTGTCCCTAACGCACTCAATGCGCCATTCTTGTCGCCACAGCGAAGACATTGGTGCATTCGACGGGAGGAATTTCCTTCACTGTATATCCCTTCAGTGTTTCCTTTTCTGACAAACGGCACAACACTGTGTGATTTGGTGGAGGGGCTTACCGGTAGCCATATTCCCGTCCACAGAAATCCGAGGGTAAAGCTGAACTGCATCGAGAATATTCAATCTGCGTTCACCGAGCTTTGGAAGTACTGCCCGGTTAGGATGAGCTCCTTCTTCATCGACGCCCCGCATCGTGTATTTTACGGCGACCGACGCTACATCCTGTTGCTGTTGGAGGATATAATGAGACTGGTAGATGGCGCTCCTCCACGGCGGCATGCCCCGCGGCCCACGGATGCTCCGTACCTCGGTTCGAGGCACTTGTTGCACGTGGCGCGTGGGGGTCTTCCTCTTTCACCAAAGAGACCCTCTCTTGTTTCTTCGTCTACAATGCCTTTGTGTCACCCTTCTGACTCTTTGGTGAGGCAGTCTGTGGCGAATGAGGAAGGCGAGCCAAAGCCGCGCAGCCCTGAGCCACAGACAGTGCTGCGTTGCGTCATTGCGTCGCCGTTGTCGGCGAGTAGGGTTGCAAACCTGGCCGCACCGCATACGGGAATCTCCACCGACCCTGCGCCGCATTCTGGAGAAAGCGTCGCTGTGTCTGGTGTAGTCAGCAGTGTACCGCTTGCGATGCTGAGCGGCCTCGATTTCACGAAGGAGGACGTGGAGACTGCGCGGGGATGGTTGGTCGCTGTTCTCGGCTCGGATTTCCGTTATACCGCTGCGGATCATTCCTTCTTTATCTCGGGCCAAGATCTCCAGCTGCAGGAGCCTTCCCTTGTTTTCTCTGATGGCGTGGTGCTGGCACACTTGATACGAACCCTGGAGCGGCGTCGCTGCGCTCAACTCGAGTCGATTGAGGTTCGTGCAAAGGCTGCAGCGGCGAAGCGGCGCAATATTAGGAAGTGTGTCTCGTTCTTGCAGACTGAGAGGCGAATTCTGTTGGAAGTTCCGCTACTGGATGAGATACTCTTTACTGGCGATCTGCGTGGTGTTCTGTACGTTACACAATGCCTCAAGAATACGTATCGTCACGCCCTGAGAACACACATTGCATAGAGAGCAAACGAATGAAATAAGGAGTGAGTTGGGTGAGGGGGAGAGAGTTTGTGGTTTCCTACACTCCTTCATTACCTTGCATTCCTCATTGCTTACTTTCTGTGCCGCACTCTTCAGGTTTTTCAACGTCCATTGGGGTGGATGCAGGGAGAGCGGTCGAATAATTGAGTCGTGGATTTTTCTTTTCTCTTTATTCTTTCGTCTTCCGACTGGTTTAATGTCGTATGGGCCTTTTTTTTTTCGTTTTGTGTCTCGGGGTTCACACAATCAACAGGTTTCTTCAGATACAACAGACATTAAAGTACACTGCAAATGTACATTGGTATTGATCTTGGAACATCTGGCGTGAAGGTGGCGGTGATGGGAGGGGATGGTGCTGTTATTGACACTGCCACTGCGGGGCTGACTGTGTCACGACCCAAACCGTTGTGGAATGAGCAGGATCCGGCAGAGTGGTGGTCTGCCACTAACAAGGCGATGAACATTCTCAAGAGTAGGAACGATATGAAGAAGGTGCGGGCTGTGGGGCTCTCTGGTCAAATGCATGGGGCCACTCTTCTTGACAAACACGGCAAGGTCCTTCGCCCTTGCATTCTTTGGTGTGACGGGCGCTGCGCAGAACAGTGCCGCGAGCTTGAGCGCCTTGTCCCACACTCACGTGAGACAACAGGTAACCTCATGATGCCAGGCTTTACAGCAGGAAAGTTGCTCTGGGTACGACAGAATGAACCAGATGTGTTCAGGAAGGTTAAAAAAGTGCTCCTGCCCAAGGACTATCTGCGCTACCTCATGACGGGGGATTATGCCTCGGAGATGTCCGACTCATCTGGCACATTATGGATGGACACTGCGAAGCGTGGTTGGAATGATGATCTCCTCCGTGCCTGCGGACTGTCGCAAGAGCTTATGCCAAAGCTATACGAAGGTACTGCGATCACAGGCCACTTGAAGCCCTGCCTTGCCAAGCAGTGGGGCATGAACGAGGTGCCGGTTGTTGGAGGCGGCGGCGACAACGCAGCCGGTGCAGTAGGCGCGGGCCTGTACAAGCCAGGCCAGGCGATGCTTTCGCTTGGAACCTCCGGCGTCTACTTCATTGTGTCGGATGGTTTCCGTTATAACACCAAGGAGGCGGTGCACAGCTTCTGTCACGCACTTCCTAATTCATGGCACCTGATGTCAGTAATTCTGAGCGCGGCATCGTGCCTAGATTGGGCTGCGCGCGTGACTGGGTGCAAAAACGTCGCCGAGTTCGTTGCTGATGCTGAGAAAGCACATCGGTTCGACGAGATGCCTGTTTGGTTTCTCCCCTACCTGGCTGGGGAGCGAACACCGCACAACAACGCGGATGCCAAGGGCGTTTTTTTCGGCTTGACGGCACAGCATGGCCGGCCAGAGATGGCGCGCGCTGTACTGGAAGGTGTGAGCTTTGCCCTTGCACAAGGAATGGATGCGGTGCACCGCTGCGACGTGAAGCCTACAAACATCACGCTGATTGGTGGTGGCTCGCGTAGCGCCCTCTGGCGGCAGATGCTTGCAGACGTTACAGGACAGTCAATCGATTACTGCAGCGGCGCCGACGTTGGCCCGGCGCTGGGAGCCGCCCGCCTGGCGCAAGTGGCGGTGGAGAAGCGACCGCTGGAGGAGCTGCTGCCGCACCTGCCGCTCGTGAAGACGCACCACCCCGACATGCAGCGGCACAAAGTGTACTTGCGCCGGCGGAGGATCTTCGAGGCGCTCTACAAGCACCTGGAGCCTCTGATGACGTCCAAGCTCTAAAGAACCGATAGCGCGCTGCATATGAATCCAAACTAGGCCACAGGTGGCGTGGGAAAAGGGTTGTTTTGTTCTTTTTGTTTTTATTCTTCTCTTTTTGTGTTTGTTTGTTAGTTTTTGTTCGACTTGGCGTGGGATCCATTCTCTCCACGTTTTCCACCGTCCTTCACCGGCGGGAGCGTGGTGTGTGGGCAGTACCAAAAACTGAGGGCTTGTAGGGAGGGGGGTGGGGGTCGAGGAAAAAGAAGACGACGAGGTACAACAACACCAAGATAAGCAGAAGATTTTTCTGTGGGAGCAGCAGTAGGTCCAAAACGAAAGCAATTTTTTCTCAAAATTATTTTTATTCTCTACAGTGAGTTGTTTTACCAATGATTCTGACTTTGTGTCGATACCCGTTGAAGCCGCGGCTGTTGTTTTGTGCCCTCGTTCCTGTTTGAGGTTTCCTCTGCCTTTTGTTGAGTCCTCTACTTCGCTTTATTTCACCCTCCACACTCCCAGCAACCACACAAACAAGCGAGGAAAACATGACAACGAACCCAGACATCGAGTCTGACATCCCCCATGAAGTGTACTCCTTCTTCAGGGCCCTGAACAAGGCAGTCGACTCGTGGGACACAAACATGCTCCACGATCTATACGAGAACCAGTTTCCAAACTTCACGCAGAACTTCTACCTTGCGGGCCCAGGACAGTTCCGCCCGTGGCCGTCGCTCCGCATGAAGCCCGTCGCCGACTGCTTCAAGAATCGAACAGCCGAGCAGCTGTACTCTTTCCTGCGTTACAAGCACTTGTTTACTGACCGCGCTGTGAAGCTGAGCGATGCAAAGTCTTCCTGGGAGACATTCAGCAACCTCTTCGCCGCCCTCCCCTCCGGGAGCTGCGACGTACCGAACTGGCTTCTGTGGGACATATTTGATGAGTTCCTTTTTCAGATGACGGTGGTGTACCAGAAGCGCTTTGCAGGACGGGCGGAGTGGTCGGTTGGCGAGGCGGTGCAGCTTCTGGAGCGAGTCGTCGCAGAGTCAAGCATTGAGGAAGTGATACAAACGGAGGGCTCAGAGGAGATCACCAAGCCTGGCGCCAGGCATGCGCAGTGGATGTGCGGCTTCTTTGGCATCATCACCATAGCCAAGATCAATGTTCTGCTAGGTGACTACAATGGAGCACTAAGCGCCTTGAAACCACTGGACGTTTACGGGCGTGGAAGACAGATTTTAATGGCGGTGGCGCCGGCGAACGTGTCGCTGCTTTATCATATGGGGTTCAGCTACCTCATGCTTCGACGCTACGCTGATGCTAGCCGTGTTTTCCGCCTCAGTCTGTCGACCAAAGTGACAAGCCGAAAGTTCTCGGAGAAGATGCAGCTGGACTGTGCCTACATGCATGTCGTTTCTTGCATACTTGGCGGTATGCAACCTGATAACTTAAACTGGCTGATGGAACCGCGGAAGCAGTCCAGTTTTGAAGACGACAAGGAACTCCTTTCTGCGGGCGATGAAGAGCGGTTCCGTGAAGTATTTGATCGGTGTAGCCCGAAGTTCCTTGCGATTCCTCCAATAACCACTAGTGTGTACAAAGGCACAGAAGGTAAGGAACTTCAGGCGCGTCTGTTTCGCCGGGCCGTGAAGCAGCAGGAGGATACAATAAGGCTACGTGGCTATTTTGGCGTTTACCAAACCACAACCACCGAACTGGTGAAGACTATCTTAGATGTGGATGACGGGTTTGTGCCTTTGTTTGCGATGAAGCTCCGCTCCCGTCAACTCGTGCATGATGGTACTTCGGCAGACTTGTTGTCGGGAAGCTACGCCGTCCGTTCTGCGCTTGACTGCACTGTGAAGGGTGATAACATCAACGTGGTTCAGAAGTCTTCCTACCGCACGACAGAATCCAAATACTTTCTGCGTATCAATAATATGCGCCGGCGATATAGGCACTTTGAAAACCAAAGACAAGAGAGACGCCAGGTGCAACACGCTTCAGTCGCTAACTGATACGTTGATCTTTTTCATTTCTTCGAAGATCGTAAGAAGTGGAGCTGCATAAGTGGCTTGAATTCTTTGTAATAACAAAAAAAAACCTACAAAAAAAAGCGGGATCCAAAAAGACGATTCTCGCGTCGGTGCATCGCTGCCTTTGCGGGGGGGGGGGGCGATGGCAGCTGGTGAACTCTGTCCTAACTGACAACAGTCAAGTTTCTCTCACATTTTTTTTTTCCTGCCCTTCTATTCGATTTGTTTCTCATTTCTACCGCTTGTTTGCTCTTTGCGGCTGTTTTGCTGTTAATGAGGCCGACCCGTAGATGTTTCTTGATGGCGATGACGATTTGCCCGAGCCCTGCGCCCCTGACAACGCACTGTCACAAGAATCGCGTCTGCTTCGACTAGAGGAGGAGCTTGCGTGGTTGAAGAGGCACCACTTCGGTGCTCAGGGAAGTAGGCGAAGGTCGCCGTCGCCGCCGCCGCCGCAACAACCACATCAACAACATCTGGATCAAGAGAGAAACTCTGTACCTGCAAGGGAGTATGAAGATGAACTGGAGCGTTCTGCCATGTGTGACTCAACCGTTAACGCAGTTCCTAACCGTTGGGACGAGGAACGTGAAGATAAGGCGCACTATGAACTTCGACGACTCGTGTCTCATCTCTCGCCAGAGTTTTCTTGCTCTGAGCGTGACGCGGTGTTGCTTGTCTCTGCAATTCGAGGTGGCTCCATCGCCGGCGGGGTGGAGTCGCGGGAGGACCGACTTGCATTATTGGAGTCGGAGAGGCGAGCTGCGCAAAACAAGCTGGAACGGAAAAGTCAGGAATGTGAGGATCTTAAAGACTCTGTCGCGGATTTGCGGCAGAGACTTCGAACGACGCAACAGGAGGCACATGCGTCGGCTACTCTGTTGTCCCAACGCCGTGAAGAGGTACGCAAGCAACTCCTGCTTGAGGAGTCACGGACGCAAAAACTTCAGGTTCGAAATGGGAAGTTGGAGATGGAAGTGGAGCGGCTAAAGGATATGCTGCACTCTCGCATGCGTTAGTAGAGGGGGAGCTGCCTTCTGCTGGGGAAATCCTTTTTGCGGGTTTGTGTGATTTCAGTGTGAATGGTGCGACGATTGTTACGTTATCATGAGTTGAGGACGAGGAAGGGGAGATGCAACCTTCAGGTAGATTATGAGTGCATGTGCGGGTGGGATGCGTATGTGTCTGCTGCCGTGCTGTGTAAACCTTCAGTGATGTTGATAGTCATGCTTGTCGTAATTCTACTAATTAGTCCTTCCCTTTTTATTTTTTCGTCTTGTGCCTTTTGCTGATATTCGGCTCCAAGGAAGACTTTTTTTGGGTGTGGGGGTTCACGACAATGGGCGTCACGCGCACAGTTATTGTGGATGGCAATGGGGTACAGCCGAAGGCGGGCGACACCATCACCGTCCACTGCACGGGATTCCTCGCGGACGGCATGAAAAAGTTCTGGTCAACGCTCGATGACAACGAGCCGTTCTCCTTCAAGGTTGGCTGCGGACAGGTGATCCGGGGATGGGACGAGGGGATGCTGCAAATGTCAACCGGAGAGAAGGCGCGGCTCACCATGTCTGGCGACTACGCATACGGGGATCGTGGGTTTCTCGCGTGGGGCATTGGAAAGAACGCCTCGCTGGTGTTCGACATTGAGCTTCTCAAAATTAACTGAGTCTATTGGCGTAAAAGAAGAAGAAGAAGAAGAAGAAGAAAAAAAAAACACTCTGACAGTTTTAGCATAACGACTGTAACGCGTGTGTGATGTTTTTTTTTTGTTTTCGTGTGTGTCTCTGTGTGCATGTGGGTTGCAATCTAATGGTTGTATGGCCATTGTGATCAGTTGTGTATATTTTTTTAATTATTTGGATTGCTTTTTTTTTTTTGTTCAGCATAACATTCCGCCGTTATTTGTAGAAGGCCAATGCCCATCAGGTACTCTATAGTTGTTCCAGCGTACAAGGAGTGCGGAAACTTGGAGGCGCTCACGAAGCAGGTGTTTGACGCGGTAGGGGATGCTGGATTCTCTAAGAATGATGTTGAGCTGCTCATCATTGATGACAACTCGAGGGATGGCTCTGTCGAAGTTGTGAAAAAACTCCAGGCAGATGGCTACGGAGTTCGAATCGAGGTCCGAACCACGGAGCGCGGCCTGAGCAGCGCTGTGATTCACGGCATTACCATCGCGAGTGGGACGTTCGTTCTTGTTATGGACGCCGACCTGCAGCACCCACCTAAGGCGGTTCCGCGTCTTTTGAGCGCACTTGAAAGACCGGACGTTGAGTTCGTGTGTGGCACTCGCTACGGCGCGGGTGTAGCCATTGACCGCGACTGGCCTCTCCACCGCCGAGTCATTTCCTGGGGCGCACGTGTGCTTGCTCGCCCACTCACACCACTCACCGATCCTATGTCTGGCTTTTTCGGATTGCGCAAGGATGTTTTCCAGCGAGGCGTCGAGGTGCTGAGCCCTATTGGCTACAAAATAGCATTGGAACTTTTCGTTAAGTGTCGCGTGCGGAAGTATGAAGAGGTTGGGTTTAACTTCGCGGCTCGAACGGTCGGAGAGAGTAAGTTAACCGGGAAGGTTATTGTTCACTATCTGAAACACCTACGTGCATTGTATGTCTATACTTACGGTGTCTGGATTGTGATTGTGCTTGCAGGTATACTGCTTATTGTTCTTTGGCTCATGAAAATCATGCTGTAGTGCGTGTGTGTGTGTGTGCATCTGAATGTTTGTTGGATCCATCAAATGAGACAATCATTAGGTTAACCCTTTGCACTCTGGAGCAGTGTGTGCGGGTGCGTGTGTCTGTGCACGTACTTAGGTATGCATGTATGTATGCATATGTCTGTGAATCTATATGAGACACATGCGGGTAACGACCAACACATTTTCTCTTTTTTTTTCTCCTCGCCGAGGGTCACTGTAGAGTGGAGCGTATGGGCGAAGGTGATACAGTGGCGGTGTTCTGCGATGAGCAGTACGAACGAGAGTGGACTTCAAGGCTCAAGTCGCAAGCGCAGTTTCCGTACAAAATCATTCCAGTACGTAACGGCCCGTCGATGTACCGTGCCGTGCGAGAATTCTGTGCGTCACAGAATGTGTATCGTTGCGCTTTGAACCTTTGCACTGGGACCACCGAAGATGAACATTGTGCCAGCTCGGTGCTGCTGGCTTCACTCTTTGATCACAATGGTGTGGTGTACGGGGGGTGTCGGTACGCTGTGCTCAAGCAACCCCTGGAGCTTCTCTTCATGATGTGCTTTTACGCCGGGTTACCGATGCCCCGCTTCTCTGTGGTGAAGTCCTACACCGACATTGAGCGGCTCGAACTTCAGTTTCCTGTGAAGTTCCGGAGTGCGAATACCCTTCAGGGCACATTTGAGTGCACGGTGGAGGAGGCATCCGCGTTGCCGCAGGCACTGAAAGAGGCCCTTGCAAACTACGGCAAGGTTGTGGTATGGGAGGTGAACGCGGCCAAAGGGAAGCAGCTGCAGGTCCTTGTTTCGGGTACAAGCTATGTCACCATCAAGCAGAACGGTGTCTGCGATAATGTGTGGCTGCAACGTTGTGTCCCTGTAATTGAAGGATATGTGACTGGTTTTGCCAAGAATGTGATTAACAAGACTGGCTTCGCAAAAATGGTCTTTAACCAGAGCCCTCATTCAGAAGATTTAATTCTGGAGGACATAGTGCTTAACTGCTCTCTGATCGAGCCAGGCTCTGATGCTCTTTCAGCTGATGCGGCGAAATGTTTCTTTGACGAGCGCATACGTGAGGGAGAGCGTGATTGTCGACCTCCAACTATTGAGGTGAGGCACACTGGTGACAACAAAGGGTATTACCTCTGCGCTGCACGGAACACCAAGAAGGGGGAAATTGTTTTCGAGGACGAGGGAAATAGTTTTGCTATAGTCACAAAGCCCTTTGTGGAGAAACAGTGGGGGCCGGAGGAAAAGGCTCTGTTTGCTGAATACGCTTGGCCGCTCGATGCTGACGGCCACGTGTACGCTATTTGGGAAAGTGACCCAAACAGGTGGCGTCCCATTAATCACTCGTGTGATCCAAACTGTATATTTGATGAGGGGCATTCACTGAACGTGGCTGCCGCCCGGGACATTAACGAAGGGGAAGAGCTCACAATGGACTACTCCACATTTTGTGACTACACAATGAAGCCGTTTCAATGTTTCTGCGGTTCAGCGTCTTGCCGCGGGCTGATCGTCCCCGATGAGGCATCGTTGCGGAAGTACGGTACCAACACATGGCACCGACGCCCTCCTGTTCCACCAACGAAGGGCATCTGATATTGTCCGGGCTGGTATATATATGCATATGCATATGTGTGTGCGTGTGTGGCATACACGCACACACATTTTCTTCTGCCCAAAATGCATAGTATCAATGGTGGCTTCTTTCTTGATGTGTGATCCTATTATTGCTTTGTTCTTCTGAGCTCATTTTGATACTGCCACTGTGGGACTCGATGTGTGGGACACCTGCAGCGCCATGTACGCTGTTAACCATAGAGCTGTTGCAAGCTGTATAGAGACGAAAGACACGCCGTGCGTCATGAGTGAGGTTGTGTATGCAAGAAATGTTCGGAGTCCTTCGATAACTTCAGGGACATATATCAGGAACTGTTTTTTTTATAATGTTCCTCTTAACTCCTAAGGTGTGTTATTTTCTTCCTCTTTTCCCATAATGATTAGGCTCCTTGTTGCAATGGTGATCGTGATTATATTATCTGTTGTTGTTGGTTTGTTTTCGGAGTGTGTTCTCCACACCTACCGACGCACCATTGGTTTGCCATGACTCGATTTGGAGCTGCGATGCCAATGGAAAAAAAAAAGATTGATATCGTCGTGATACATTTGGAGAAGATCTGGCATTGTTACGACGAGTGGCGGTGGTGGTAGTGGCGGAACCTACTTTATGACATGTTCTCTCGTTTCCCTAATGTAGCATAGAAACGATTTCCGCTAAGGACAGGAGCGCCGCATCGCTTTGTTAGGTCTAGGGCTCTTCCTGGTGGAAACAAAATGCGTTGGGGATTTCGTTCACTGCGCCTTGACCTACCTTATGTCTTGCTGGGTGTTGCTATTGGATGGAATAGTGATGTGCTTTGCTCGGTCAAGGGGAGTTCCATGCTCCCCACGCTTTCCCCAGGGGATTACGTTTTGTTTTTTCCCTACGCTTTGCTCCGTTTCCTGCAGCACTTTTCCCCATCGCCCTTGGTGCGGACGGGTGATGTCGTTGTGGTGAGAATATCCCCGGAGTTGACTGTTTGCAAGCGCGTGATGCGCACTACCGCGGACAAAAACGTGATGGGGCAATGGAATGACGAGCAGTTCACGACGATTTATCCAGAGCAGATTCCTTCACTGGATTCGGCTGATGCGTCACCAGAAGCTCGTGCCGAACAGGAAGCCTATGTGTACAGTAGCCTCGCTGCCTACACAAGGGCGCGTGACTGGGATGCCTGCATTGACCGTGTGGAGCACCCCTCTGGTTGGCTCTGGTTGGAGGGCGACAACCCTCGGGAGAGTTTCGACTCGCGCAACACAGGCGCGGTGCCGCTAGAGTGTCTTCGCGGCCTTGTTCTGCTTAAAATGTGGCCATCATTCGGTCGCCTGCCGCTTCGGCCATCGTCCTAAGCTGGGAGTGGAGGGGAGTAGGCTTTGAACGCATGATAAAACCAATGTGACATGTGGAGAGCACCGCGATGACAGGAGCGCTTTTCGTTTGTTTTTCTTTGGTGATGCTTGACTGCGTTAGAATCTGTAGCGAAGCATCCTTTCTCCTCTTGACTTCCGTGAGGGGCACACTTTAAATGGGCGACGATGCGATCCCTGACTATCTCGCAGTGGCTGGCGTGGCGAAGGAAGTACTGCGCGCCCTCCCCTTCTGGAAGGTGTTTGTCGAGCTGCGCGAAGCGTGCGGCCGGAAGCCGACGGTTGTGTCCTGTGATGTCTCCATAAAAAGCCGCAGGGCCTGCTCGCATTTTGTGGGCGTTGACGTGTTGTGGGTGCAATCAGAGGTTGTTCTTGTGAACAGGCGGAGATCGGTGAGGAGAGGTGGTTCAAAGGACGCTCCCCATCAGTATGTTGAGATGCATCTCAGTTTTGGGTCGATGCACTTCGTCCACCAAAACGCTCACCTCATTGGGGGCGACCGGAGCTATAATTTGCAGTCGGTGGTGCTACTCCAGCGACCCGAGCAGATGCAGTGTGTGGCGGGAAACATGGTTCATTTTGCCCTTCTTGTTTACGGGATGCTGCATCTCTCCCATCGTGACAATTCAGTGGATGCACGTTGCGCCACTGTCCCTCCCTCTGACTCTACCGTGTTGGTGCTTGGGATGGGTGGCAACAGCATGGAGTGTGGTCTTCGTCACGTTCTCGGTTCAAAGGCGAGTATCTATGTGGCAGACGTCGAGCCTGCCGTCGTAAGCACCTGTAGGTCCTTCGGGTTGCTCAAGGAGAATCCCAACACCCATGTATACGTTCAGTCTGCGGAGGAAGTACTACGTCTGTGCCCCGTTAACTGCAACTTCGTATTCATGGACGTATTCGAGCCGGTAAATGGACGCATGGTAAACTCCATGCCCCTCATTAAGCAGGCCTTCAACAAACTTGCAACCGATGGCATTCTCGTCATCAATGATCACAGTCTTCCCACCATAGAGCACCTCCTGCCATTAATGCAACTTTTCGGTGATCACAACGTGCAGGTCATCAATATTCATGGCTGGAATGAAAGCGTTATTGCAGCAATCAAACCAGGGGGAAGTGTAGACGGACGGGGACAGAACTGCTCCAAACGACTTGCATATGACGTATTGGATGCCTATGAGTCGCTATATCCCGGCTGGATGCCAACTGAGACTTACATCCAGCGATCACACATTCTATATGCCAAGGCGCCCTCCGCCAAACTACGCGCACGGCAATGGACATCTTGAATCTAAACAACAACAATAAACAATTCTTGCACACGATAAGAAACACAAAGAGAACACGAACATCTTGCTGTCAGTACCCCCTCTATCTGATTCTCTTTTCCCCATTCTT